GGCCCGGCCCCGCCGCCGCGCCGGCTCTGGGGAGCGCCTGAGGGCGGGCGGCTCTCGGGGGCGTTGGGCGTTGCTATGGCGCTGGGCTGGGTGCCTCCGCCCCGGGTGCTGGCGCCTCGGTCCGCGCTCGGCCCGGCGCCTCAGTCGGTCCGCGCTCGGCCCGGCGCCTCAGGGCGCGGTACCTCAGCCCGGCGCCTCAGGGCGCGGTACCTCAGCCCGCGCTCGGCCCGGTGCTTCGGGGCGCAGTACCTCAACCCGCGCTCGGCCCGGCGCCTCAGGGTGCGATACCTCAGGGCTCGGTACCTCAGCCTGGGCTCGACCCGGCGCCTCAGGGCGCGGTACCTCAGCCAACACTCGGTCCAGCGCCTCAGCCCGTTCCCGCTCTATTGTCTCGCGTTGGGCCTAGTACCTCAGCTGCTACTGCCAATGCTTCGGCCCCCACTGTCACGATACCCCAGATAACGTTTGTTTTGGCTGGGCCTGGTATCCCAGCACCTGTGGTTGGTGCCTCAGCCTGTGCTGCTGCTCTTCTCGGGTACAGCACCCCTTGCAGCCATTAGAGGGGAGTGGCTCTGGCAGGGGTTCTCTCCAGCTGCCCCGCATAGGGGAATGCTGTCTGTGCAAGTTTCTTGTCTTGTCTTTCCCTGTAACCTGTTGCTGTGAAGGAAGCTGGGATGTGGGTTTAGTACTCTGCTTTACTGTGCTGTGGGGAGCTCCCATATAGAAGGAATGTAGTTTATTCTTGCTGAGGGACAAGCTTTAAGGTGAGACCCTATACAGTTACCCCAAAGTAAGTGCTGGTCCGGTAATCCATACTCTGACTTTATAAGCAGTAGTGGCACAGGCCTCCCCTAATTTTGGCTTTGCCACCAGTGTTCATGAGCACCTATACATGCATTCATTCCCCTGATAATTTTCCTTTCCCATGTTTGTTTTGCAGACAATCCTAGGAGAAACTCATGAAGAGGAGGATGAGATCCTTCCACGGAAAGACTATGAGGTAGGAAACTAAATGATAGCAGCTTGTGAAATTAATGTGAAAAGAACTACAGATAGTTTTCGATCTGTTTGAGCTTGTAATGAGGCAGATACTCAAAATGCATCACCAGCTAGAGTACATTGGCAGCAGCAGAAATACCAAGAGTTGCTGCACTTGCAAAGAACAGCTCCTCATCATTATACATTTCTAGGTTGAAGCCCTGTGAATAGAGCTTGAACGTCCACTGCTTAAGTCAGGCTCTTGTTGAGAAAATTCATTTTCAGAGTCTCCTGCATTGTTGTTCTTTTTTAATATGAGATTTACAGGCTCTAGTGGTCTTGTTTCCTCGTGACTATAGAAATCATCTGTAGCTACTTGGTCACTGTTGCCTTACTGATGTCTCTGATGTCATGCTGGCTCACAGCAGATCTTCCCATCTATCGGATCCTGCTCCTTACAGGAGATTTGTGCTTTTTACATGTCTGTATGGTGGCCCTGAGCTATTTAGAGCGGTTGCTGTCAACATGGGTATTACCAGCTCAGCCTGTTACTGCTTGGCTTGAAAAGGTGAAGTTGATGTAGATAGGAGCTAGTGGTACTACCAGTATGACTGGGCAACTATATTGCTTTTAACTCCCTGCCGTGATAAGCTTAAGAATTGATGCTGTTCATCTGGAGAGGAATTCCTATCTAGTGTTCCTGTTGTAGTGAGAGGTTAAATATAAAGATCTAAAGTTGTCCCCTGCACTGTCAAATTGGAGGTGCTTAAAGAAGTAAAGTCTAAATCTGTACAATGCGACTTCTTTAATTTAAAGTTTTATTAGTCAGTCATGTTCCTGTTTGGTTCCCTCTCTCTCAGCTTGGGCAGTGAAATTGGTCTGTTCTTTCACTTCCTGATTCTCAGAGTCTGGCTCTGCTGGAAATATTTAAATGAAGTTGTTTCCAGGAGGATTTTTTATCCTACTGTTGTTTGCAAAACCTCCTGTGGGGGTAGTAATGACTTCTGTAATCTTTAACAAGGTCTTCTATCCATAGTTTTTTGCACAATATGTTGCAGCTGATTCTCTTAAACTGACCTTTTGGCATTCTTTCAGAGCTTGGATTATGATCGCTGTATCAATGACCCATACTTGGAAGTTTTGGAGAGCATGGACAACAAGGTAGGACCTTGTTCTTTCTTTTTCATTAGCTTGAGAGCTAAAACTGTGGAAATTGCCCAGAGAAATTTGCCCAGAGAAGTTGTGGATGACCTGTCATTGGAGGTGTTAAAGGTCAGGTTGGATGGGGCTTTGAGCAACCTGATCTAGTGAAAGATGTCGCTGCCCATGGTGGGGTGGATGGACTAGATGATCTTTAAAGGTTCCCTCCAACCCAAATCACTCTATGATTCTAAATACATTCTACTGCAGGAAGTTTTGTGGGTTTTTTCTTGTTTATGAAAAAAATTTTGTGTGCTCTCTTGGTTTCTCTATGAAAAGAATAAAAATATGTGTGGAGGTTATAGCTCCCAGCATCTCCTCTGATCCTCAGGCTTAAAGTGAGCAAGATGTTCAGCACTTTCAGTTCCCTATTTTCAGTTTGCTGTTGTCACCTTCTTCTGTTGATTTATCACTCTAGCTGTAATTGAGCTGTGGAACCCAAAATCGCCTTTTTCTGATCCTTGTTTCTATGTTGCTTTGACTTGGCTTTTTTTTTTTTTTTTTTTTTTTGGTTTTTTTTTTTTTTTTTTTTTTTTTTTTTTAAAATCCTCATTCTAAACAGAAAGCCCAGAGATACGAAGCAGTGAAGTGGGTGATGGTTTTTGCTATTGGAGTCTGCACAGGACTGGTAAGTGTCATGCTGTTTGGGGAATGAGGAAAATTCAGGAGACTAAGCAGGAGTAATTTAGAATTCAACGGCTGAGGAGTAAACATTCTTTTTCATGAAGTGGAGAGCTTAGTAGCTGGAGTTGTCTTTTGGCAATTATAGCACGTTGTTGGTAGATTATTTTCCAGGAAGCCTTTTTTTCTTTCAGATCTTGCTGTGCTTTCTTTGCAAAGTATTCTGGTAAATCCTTTAGTTCTGCATACAGGAAAGCTTGTCCAAAGTGAGCATTTAATAAAAAAGGTTGCCAATTTACAGTTGAAGTGTATTTTTTTTGTTTGGCATTATGAGCTTCACCACATGTGCTTTCTAGGGGTTTTGAAAATCAGCTTTGCTGATTGTGTGCCTCAGTTGAACACTAGCTTTCTTCTGTACCCTGAAGTGTGTTGTGGGTGTTAAAAATGCTACCAGATCAGTACTCTGAAATGCATCTCTTCAGGAATAATTCTAGGATGGGTCTGTTCCAGTGAGAATGAGGGAGGCAGCAAATCTGAGCTTCTGAAGTTACATTGCTCTGAACAATGCTTCTTTTGCCTTCTTCATCCTCTGTCCTCCCATGTGTGCATACTTTTGGTAGGACTTACTAGAGGGTGGTCTTTGTTACTTGTTTGTTGTAATTTCTGATGGCAGATCTGTCTTTTTTTTCATAGGTGGGCCTCTTTGTGGATTTCTTTGTACGGCTCTTTACCCAGCTGAAGTTCCGGGTGGTACAAAGCTGTATCTTTTACCTAGTGTATGGGTTCCTGTTGGACTCAAGTGACCTTTTCCTTTCTGTTGCCCTGTTTTGCTCAGAACAGCTGACTCTGACTGCCATCAGTCGTGTTGTTAATGATTAACCAAGTTTTCAACTTGCCTATGTAATTCAGCCCTTGAAACCAAGAAATGGTTCCAGTATGATGTACATAGGCAAAGTCTAATCCCTGAAAGAATGAGTGGTTTCCCTTCCTTGTAGCTCAGTCTTGAGCTCTGAAAAGGAAGCCTGGCTTCCTGATGGGCTGTGTCATCTACCCTGACTGCATTAGGAAGCGCAGGCTTGGCTCCTGATGCCAGTGGGACCCCCAGACAGTACCGAATGATTGTGTGTTGGTGGGGGCAACGTTGTTTTCCTTGACAGTCCCTGCAGCGGTGGAAGAATGCACTGAGAAAGGCTGCCTTGCCTTGTCCTTGCTGGAGCTGCTGGGGTTCAACTTGACCTTTGTTTTTCTTGCCAGTCTACTGGTCCTGATCCAAGTAAGACTTAGGTCCACTGCTGCTCCTTACACAGCCTCCCTTTGCTCTCACACAGGTCCTGGGTATGAAGTTTCCTTCTTGCCGGAAGCACTTTCTTCCCCAAGACATCAAACTAGCTTCACAGTACTAATTGATGTAGCTAAGCAGGGTCTCTTGGTCCCTTGCTGTGCTCTCTGATAAGATGTTGTTGGTCAGCTGTGAAATCAATGCAGCACAGTGCCAGTGTTTCTCTTCTGCAGCCTATAGCAGCTGGATCAGGAATTCCTGAAATTAAGTGCTACCTCAACGGGGTAAAGGTTCCAGGGGTTGTGCGTCTCCGGACGGTGGTGTGCAAAGCTATGGGAGTGCTCTTCAGTGTGGCAGGAGGTAAGAAGGGCTGTGGTGTTGGGGTGAGGAATCACTGAATGAGGAGAAATTCTGTCCCTGCTGTACACAGGGCACAAAAGACTTCTCCTGCCTTTCCAGTAAAATGATTTTGGTGGGCTGGAGCAGAGTGATGAGCCCTGAATGCATATATAGAGTAGAAAACAGAAGGATCAGGACTATTGGGGGAACAGGTACTTTCCTGGCTGGGCTAGTCAGAAGTGGTTCTTTGTGGCTCAGTCCAAGAGGGAGACGTGAGAATCCTCCAGAACACATTGCCTAGAGCAGCCTAAAGGAGGCTATGTTCTAGGCAGCAGGGCAGAGTGACTTGGAGAGTTCAGAGTCCTTATAACAGCTGCCTTTGAATGGTTCCACTCACTTGGAGTGCCAAGTCTGTGAAAGTCTTCACAAACATTTGGGGGGCTGAGGGGGCAGGGGTCAGAACCTCCCTTCACCTTGAGGCGACAGGGAGGAGCTGCAGGCTTGGCACGGGGGACTGTGCCATGGCGTGGGAGTAGTGAGCTGATCTCTCCTGGCATCGCCAGCAAGGGAGAGGGGCGGAGGGAGTGTGTTGCCTCATCAGTCCTGTTTTTCCAGGTCTTTTTGTCGGGAAGGAGGGTCCAATGATTCACAGTGGTGCTGTTGTGGGTGCGGGTTTGCCACAGGTTAGTGCTGGCCTGGGTCGCTGGCCTGGTCACACCACTGCTTTGTAAGAGTACTGTGTGGAGTAATTTTCCATTTCCTATGTTTCTAAATCTTTACTTTGTTTGTAGTTCCAGAGCATCTCTTTGAGGAAGATCCAGTTTAACTTTCCCTATTTCCGCAGTGACAGGTACTGTACCCAGGATGTGGAGGAGGAGGATGAGTGAGCAGACTTCCTTGGGAGAAGGGTGGCGGGCTGGGATGAATCAGTCAGATGGTTTTTCAGTTTCTCGTTAGTGTCCTGCAGTTTCATTCTGCAGCAAGACAGCACCAGGACTTGACTCTTCCATGCTGCTCTGCTCTGGTTTCTGTGCTCATTGAGGTTCTCTTGTACTACTACTCAGCAAATCTCTGCCCATTTAAAACCTTTAATCTGAATGGTTAAATGGCTTCATTGTTGGGAACAAGCTCATTTACTCACCCCTTATGACCAAGATACACTCTAGAGAAGGCTGGTCCACCTGAATGTGAACAAAATCTTGCCCTTCCCTCTTTGTAGTTCTTTCAAGTGATGCTGGAGCCCCATGGTTTCGGATGATTCCTCATATACTGGGCAGTTGTGTAGTGCCAGAGTTTTGCTCTGTATTGGTGCTCTAGAGAAAGAGCATGATGCTGCAACGACTTACTGAATAAGATGTTGCCTGCCATGGCCAGCACTTCTCACAGCTGTCACCCCTGTATCCCTGGGATATGTCTGTAAAGGGGATTGGTCTCTTACTTTGCAGAACCTAAGCACCTCCAGAGATCTACTTTGTTAAACTAAGATTGTTTTCCTCTTCATTTCAGGGATAAAAGGGATTTTGTATCTGCTGGAGCTGCTGCAGGGGTTGCGGCTGCCTTTGGAGCCCCAATTGGGGGCACTCTTTTCAGCTTGGAAGAAGGTTCTTCCTTCTGGAACCAGGGACTTACATGGAAAGTGGTGAGTAATGACTTTGGCTCTTTCTGTGTGTCTCTTCCTTGAGCTTGACCTTTGGGAGGGCTTGTCCATGAGGGCATTCAGATTACCCTGTGTCTCCTCCTGAGCTCTACTGGCAGGAGAGAGATTGCCTGCTCTGAGTGCTCCAGAGTTACTACAGATCAAGAGCAGAGATGAGTCTGGTACTATCTGGAACTATGGGGCAACTCTGTAGGCAGCAGATTTAGCGTACCTGGGAGAAAGGGCTTTTGTGCCTGGGCTCTTTGCAGTCTGATCCTTTGGGAACAGACAGAGTAGGCAGGTGCTGGATTTCTTTCTGCTTTTCTCTGCCTTGGGGAGCTGTATTGCAGCAATGCCATGTGCCTTCAGGTTGCCGATTTCTCTGCCTCTAGTGCCTACTTTCATGAAGTTGACAGTATTTTAAAAATGTATTAGATTTTGTGATGTTTTTTGCATTTCTTATGCCAAATGTCCTGTTGATGGGATTCAGTTAGTCTGCTCTTTCTCAGTGGGGATAAAAGGAGCCAGGGAATTTGCCAAGATAGCAACTCTCAGAGCTAATGAAGACCTCAATTCCAACTCTATACAAGCTGTGTTAGTGCCTTGTAATTGATTTGCAACTGCAAATTAGTTATCTTTGACAAAAAACAAAAAAAAGAGCTTTTGCTGCAAGAGTTACTAGGTGAAATTCCTAACTTCTTGTGCGGGAAGCCAAATCAGATGATTACAGTAGTCCATTCTAGCCCTGCTCTCTTTTGCAGAGGGAATGGGTGTTAAACCTCAGTAGGACTATTTTCCTAAAGCTTGAGAAGGCTCTGAGGTTCCCTTCCCCAGGCATAAGTCTCAAGGAAGAGCTGACTGTGCCAATCTTATTTGGGAGTGTTTAGTTCTTTTTTTTTTTTTTAACCTCCTCAGCTTTTCTGTTCCATGGCTGCCACCTTCACCCTGAATTTTTTCCGCTCTGGGATTCAGTTTGGAAGTTGGGGGTCTTTCCAGCTCCCTGGGCTGCTGAACTTCGGCGAGTTTAAGGTAAGATTTAGTGCTGTTATTTCTGCACACACGCACCCCTGCCCAGTCTTTTGTCAATTCAGTGTTTGTTTCTGGTTTTTTTTTTTTTGATACATGCTTGTATTTCAGTGAAGGGCAGTTGATATTTAGCTGTAATACATTGAAAGCCTAAGACAGAATTGTTTCCCTTTTGTCATAGCTGCTGAAAGTCTCCTGCTCTGGAGGCAGAAGTGTTGTTAGGAAACTGCAGCAAATACTCTAATATGCTTTTTTTATGCTTTTCTGCATGTAGTGCTCTGAGTCCGATAAGAAATGCCACCTCTGGACAGCTGTGGACTTGGGCTTCTTCATTCTGATGGGAATTGTAGGAGGCCTTCTTGGAGCCACCTTCAACTGCCTGAACAAGAGACTTGCAAAGTATCGCATGCGGAACGTGCATCCCAAGCCAAAGCTGGTCAGGTATTTGTGCTCTCTCGAGTTTGTGCAGGGATCTCTGGTCTGTGTTCAGTGTCCCAAAGCAAAAGCATTGATCTAGAAGACCCAGTGAGAGGGACTGGAGGAAATCCCAGATGTTTTGAAATCGCAAAACGAAGCCTCCATAGAACTTAAAAGTGAACACCAGAAACCAGATGTTACAGTCCCTCTGCATTTTTGTAATTACTCTGGTGGTACAGAGACCTGCAGCCCCCTTTACAAGGGCTATGAAGGGAGCTCTTTATAATAAAGGCTATAGCTGAACAAACCAGAGCTTTGTCTCCATGCAGTATTTTTTTTATGTCTTGTCCAAACAGATGTGGAAGGAATAGCTGATTCCACTCTTTTTTTTTTAAATTATCTTGGTTAATTAAGTCCACGACAGCTAATATCTGTGCTATTTAGAGAGGGAATTGCCATGTGATTCTGGAAAACAGCTGTTTGTTTGCTCTAGACAATTCCTAAATAAGAAGCCCAGGTTTAAAATAAAAAAAGAAAAGTGTACTTCAGCAGTTAGAAAAGAGATTATGAGAGACTATGCATCAACCTGTCCAGTCCTGTCTAGACTTTTACTCTGTAAGGATCTACAGAACATCGTTCCCATGTGAACAGCCTCATCACTGAACCCTTCCGTGTGGCTTTTTATATGTGACTACTATGTGTTCTCTGGGCAGAAATAGCTCCTTTTTGGGGCAGGCAATTAAAAAGGGCAGTTAATGCAGTCCCTGGTAACCAAGTTGTAATTCAGCTTGACTTGCAGAGTCCCCTCCTTCTGATGTTAAGCTGTGGTGACTGCATCTTCTTGCAGCCTTATCAAAGTCATTTGCGGAGCTGGGACTGGGTTACAGGGCTGAGTGTGGCTTCAGTGTATGGTTTCTGTTGTGTACTTGCAGGGTCTTGGAGAGCCTGCTGGTGTCGTTGACTACCACGGTCGTGGTCTTCGTAGCCTCCATGGTTCTGGGGGAGTGCCGGCAGATTTCTTCCACCAGTCATAGTGGCAATGACACTCTGAGCCTGCAGGTGAGGGATCTTATGTGAAGATTATATGTCCCCATCATATTGTTCACCCTCCAGAGAAGCACAGGCACATAATGAGCTTTTGACAGCATGCAGTACATAACAGAACTTCAGTGAAAGCCTATGGACAGTTGCAGGAGCTTAGGGTAATAATGAAAGCTGGCCTTTGTGCTTTCGTACTTTGGCGAAGCAGCTCAAGCTATGAATCAGGGAGCCCATTGGTGTTGCAGGCCCTGTCTCTGCTATTGATATTTGCCCTGGACTTCCCAAAGTGTGGGCCTTCTCCACAGTACAGAAGGGTTACTCCCATTCTGCACAAAGGCTAACATAGGAGAAAGCAGATTTTAACTGTTCGTGTCTTGTGTGTCCTGCATTAGGGTATGTCAGAGGATGTGAATTCAAGCATCAAAACTTTTTTCTGCCCGAATGAAACCTACAATGACATGGCCACACTCTTCTTCAACCCTCAGGAGTCAGCTATCTTGCAGCTCTTCCACCAGGACGGTGAGTAGCTAAGAGACAGTGCCCCATCCCATGCTTAGGCTTCAGAGCTTCATCTTGCTTGAAACAGCCTTGTCCTGAGAACCACAAGACTAAAAGCATCTTCAGGCCATTGTGGCTCTGGGGGACTGCTAGTACAACAGGTGAAAGCCTCCTCCATGGGAAGAGAGCACTGCTTTTCCTCTCTTTTTCACTTACTCATTGTCTTCATGTGTGTTTTGACTGGGAGACTTAAGTAGCTGTTGTGAGATGAGCCTGTTGTGAGCTCAGGGGTGGATGGTGCAAGACTACTGTCTTTGTCTGACAGACCTGTGCCCCTTTAGTCATGATTCTTCTTGTGTTGCAGGTACTTTCAGCCCAGTCACACTGTCCTTGTTCTTCCTTCTCTATTTCTTACTCTCCTGCTGGACATACGGGATCTCTGTGCCCAGTGGTCTTTTTGTGCCATCACTGCTTTGTGGGGCTGCCTTCGGACGCCTGGTCGCCAACCTCCTCAAAAGGTGCATTGAGTGTGCGTACGTGTGTGAGAGATGTGCTGCAGATGCACGATGAGCTCTCAGTCAGGTTATTCTAATCTCCAGGCTCTGTGTTTCGCCTTAGCTACATTGGCCTGGATCACATCTACTCAGGAACCTTTGCACTGATTGGGGCAGCAGCATTCTTGGGAGGAGTGGTCCGCATGACAATTAGTCTGACTGTCATCTTAATTGAATCCACCAACGAGATCACCTATGGGCTCCCAATAATGATCACCCTCATGGTGAGTGCAGGGTCTTAGCTCTGACTTCTTGCAGACTGCTTGAACATGTGCTGGCCCTGAATCTCTGCTCCTTCCAAGGCTATGATAAGCCAAGGAGTCTTGTACTTGGAGCAACAACTCAGTAGACCTTCTCTTTGCTCTGCAGGTAGCCAAATGGACAGGAGACTTTTTCAATAAAGGCATCTATGACATCCATGTGAACTTGCGAGGAGTGCCTCTTCTGGAGTGGGAAACAGAGGTGGAAATGGATAAGTAAGGCTGCTCCTCTTAGCAGGGCTGTGGGTTAGAGTTTGTGGTAGGGTTCTTGCTCAGAAAGGACTGATGTAATGCAGGGGGATGATGCTTCATGTCCAACGAATCTGGCTGCTCTGAGAGGAGCAGCTGTGAGGAGGACTGCTGTGAGAGGAGTTGGGAGCTGTGCATCAGGCCTGTGGCAGGAAAGAAGTGCTGGAGCCCTTTCTGAGGAGGGGTGGACAGGTAGAGATCTGAGGAGCAGATTTGTGAGGTTCAGCAAGAACTCTGTGAAGTTCCACTGGACTTTGCTTCTTGCAGAATTTCATCTTCTTCCCACCTGTTGTCTTTTCCCAGTAGTGCTTAAACACTTTCTATGTTATAAGTTGGAACCTTTTTCCTTGCCTGTAAGTGCACCATTGACGCAATGTTACATTAAAAAAAAAAATTAAAAAAAAAAAATCAGTTGTGCCATCATGGCTAATAACACAGTGAAGGTAAGCACACAGGTATAAGGAGCTGGCAGAACTAAACTGCAGCAGACTCCTTCAGGATCTCATTTTGGGACTGGTTTGTTTCCGTGTTTGTCCATCACCAGCCTTCTGTCACTGATGTGATGTCCCAATCTTGGATTTCTGTTTCCTCAGACTACGAGCCAGTGACATCATGGAACCCAACTTGACATATGTCTACCCGCACACCAGGATCCAGTCCCTTGTTAGCATCCTGCGCACAACTGTCCATCATGCCTTCCCTGTAGTGACTGAGAACCGGGGCAATGAGAGGGAGTTCATGAAGGGAAATCAGCTGATAAGTAACAACATCAAATTCAAGGTAAGAATTATAGAATCATAGAATAGTTTGGTTTGGAAGGGACCTTTAAAGGTCATCTAGTCCAACCCCCCTGCAGTGAGCAGGGACATCTTGAGCTCAGTCAGGTTGCTCAGAGCCCCGTCCAACCTGACCTTGAAGGTTTCCAGGGTTGGGGCATCTACCACGTCTCTGGGCAGCCTGTTCCAATGTTTCACCATCCTCAGCATAAAAAATTTCTTCCTTATATCTAGTCCAACTCTACCCTCTTTTAGTTTAAAACCATTATCCCTTGGCCTATTGCAACAGGCCCTGCTAAAAAGTTTCTCCCCATCTTTTTTATAAGCCCCCTTTAAGTACTGACAGGCTGCAATAAGGTCTTCCTGGAGCCTTTTCTTCTCCAGGCTGAACAACCCTAACTCTCTCAGCCTTTCTTCATAGCAGAGGTGCTCCATCCCTCTGATCATTTTGCGGCCTCCTTTGGACCCACTCCAACAGGTCCATGTCTTTCCTGTGCTGAGGGTTCCAGAGCTGGATGCAGGGCTCCAGGTGGGGTCTCACCAGAGCAGAGGGGCAGAATCCCCTCCCTCGCCCTGCTGGCCACGCTGCTTTTGATGCAGCCCAGGATATGGTTGGCTTTCTGGGCTGTGAGCGCACATTGTCAGCTTGTGTCCAGCTTTTCACCCACCATTACCCCCAAGTCCTTCTCCACAGGGCTGCTATCAATCCCTTCATCTGCCCATCAAATCCATATGCAAAAAAGGGTGCCTGAGTTCCTAAACCCCAGGCTCTCTGTCCAAGGAGAGTACAGCCCTATTGGCTATTCTGACAAGTACTGCAGCAGCATTGACTAAGGAACACTTAATCTGGTGACATAAAGCTATGATCAAATAGTTCATAGTTGCTCTTGGGTAACTGTTGACCTGCTTAGGGGGTTATCTGAAAATTGTTTGCTGTATCCAGAAATCTAGCATCCTCACGCGAGCTGGAGAGCAGCGCAAGCGTAGTCAGTCCATGAAATCCTACCCTTCAAGTGAATTGCGTAACATGTGTGATGAGCACATAGCAGCGGAGGAGCCACCAGAAAAGGAGGATCTGCTGCAACAGATGCTAGAGAGAAGGTGAGATCCTGGTAGGCACAAACATATGGAAACAGGGTGTTTCCATATGTTGAGATGTGTTATGATGCTTCATACAGTCCCTGTCATTCCGTATGTCAGAGGAAACAGTGTTAGTATCCACGTTTTGGGAGAAGTGACTTGTCAGGTCTCATCAGCCAGTGCTGGGGCTCACACCTGTGACTGAGTCCTGGGCTAATGGCTGGATGGTGTCCAACCTGTTAACTTAAATTTCCTTCAAACACCTATCCAGAAATATTTCCTGGAGAGGCTGGAATACCTGGGGAAATACCTTGTCTGTAGAAATCGATACCCTCTTGTCTGCAAAAACCCGAGGGCTCTGCAAAGCTCACTTCCCCCAAGAGAGGAGCTGATGGCTTGGTGCCATAATACTGATACCACCTTTCTGGTAACTGGGCTGTCACCAGGCCTGTATTGCAGTTGCTTCCAAGGAGAAGCCCAGCCTAGTGAACCAGTTTCTAACCTAGTGATTGTAACTCATGAGTGGACTTCTGACCCTGATGTTTTGCCAGATGCTTCAGCTTTTATTAGAATCTGAATAATTTGGCACTGAAAATTGCTTTAGTAGCAAGTGATTTGAAATTCAGGGTTAGGAGACTGTCTCCATTCTGCTGCTGTTGTCATACTCTGCCTGTGGTAATGGCTCTTGACCCCTCTCTGCTATTTTGTTTGGTGGAGAAAAGACTTGCTTCTCTCTAGCAAGAGTCCCTGAATGTGCAGGAGAAGGTTGCAAAGAGCCGAAATAGCTGTTGGTGTTTTGGAGGTGGGGGTATATATCTCTCCTTAAGTTCATGCAACTTATAACATGTTAAATCTCTCACAGATATACTCCCTACCCCAACCTATACCCTGACCAGTCTCCCAGTGAAGAGTGGACTATGGAGGAACGCTTCAGACCCTTGACCTTCCATGGCTTGATCTTGCGCTCACAGCTCGTCACCCTCCTTGTCAGGGGTGTTTGTTACTCTGAGAGCCAGTCGGTGAGTCTTCCCAGTCAGGACTTGTAGCAAAGACATCCCTACCCTCTCTGCTGACAAGCTGGGAACAATATTTATGGGCTGCCAAAAAGAATTTACCTATTTTTACACTTTAAGGAATGCATCTGTGTTTTAAAAGCTGCAGATGGATAATGTGAATTTTCCCTTGCAGCTCTAGAATAAAGAGAATTTAATTTCTATTTAAGCACCCCCAAGAAAAGAGGATAGTTACCATTTAAAAAATAAACCAAGAGACCCATTTGTTGCATAAAGGTGCAGTCCTGTCAGAACTGGAGAATGGAGGGCAGATATTAAATACAAATAGAGCAACCAGCAGTGTGTACTGTGTGTTTTTACAGACTGTCAGCTGTATCACTGAGATCGTTATGAGCATTTGTGTTTGAGGCCCACCTTCCACAAGGCTGATTTGTTGCTGCCCTCCAGTGTTGAGTGTAGATCTGGCAGAGGTTGGAGAGCAAATCCGTTGCTCTCTCAGCTAAATGCCTGTGTAGGTTTGGGCTTGCACTGCTGCATCCTGAGATGAGCTGCAGGAGTACCTCTGCAGAAGTTGTATGTGTGGGCATGGGAGAAGGAGATCTGGGTGAGCGACTGGGAGGCATCGTTTGCTGTGCTGCTTGCAGCCCACGTACTATCTGGGATGGTGACACATCGGTTCAGTGGGATTTGTTTTAATTGCAGAGTGCAAGTCAGCCTCGTCTGTCCCACGCAGAGATGTCAGAGGATTACCCTCGCTATCCAGATATCCATGACCTGGACCTCACGTTGCTGAACCCTCGCATGATAGTGGTAAGAGATGCACTGCAGTGTGATAGTGTTTCCTGATACATGTTTAGGACTGTCCCAAGCCTTTAAAAAAGCTGAGAGCATGTTTAAGTCCACCCTTGGGTGCAGTGACCAGCACTCTGTACTTCTCATGCATTCAGTCAGCCTTGTCTGCATGTGGAAGTCAATCCTGATACCTGCTATGAGGTAGTATCACACACAGGTGCTTTACTTTCAAAATAAGATGTTGCCTGTCTGGTTTAACTTCCTTCTAGATTAGACTCCTGCCTGAGTGAGATGGGACAGGCAAACTGCTGATTTCCATTTGGAACTCTGTGTGCTGGCAGCTCAGTCAGTGGCAGGCCTGTCATTGTCTTTGTGACAGGACGGTTGCTGTGTAGGCAAAAGTGCTTTTTTAATATACATTCTTATTTTCATGGACCTGCATTTATCCTGCTCAGAGGCTTTCTGCAGCATTGGGCTCTGAAGATCATGGGTTACAGTGTTCAAACAAACGGTGACAAATTCAGGTTCCTGAAATAATTTCGTATTTGTGGAGAAATAGAAGATGCCCACAGTCAAATACCCTGTTCAGAGATCAGTGCATTGGAGGAGTTGTAGGAATTGCTTGTTAGTGATTCCCAGAGATAGTGAAAATGCCTCTTGTAAATAATATAATTGTTTTTCTTTCTTAGGATGTCACCCCATACATGAACCCATCACCGTTTGCTGTCTCTCCAAACACTCATGTGTCGCAAGTCTTCAACCTATTTAGGACAATGGGACTCAGACATTTACCGGTTGTGAACGCAGTTGGAGAGGTGAGTCCTTATCTCCATTTTGTCTTGGCTGAGCAAGGAAGCCGCTGTGTTTTTTTGCAATGCTTTCTACCTTTGGGATAATTAAGATCTCTTTTAACATTAAACAGAAATGCTTTAAAGAGATCAGAATGTGATCTTCTTAAGGCCCTGAAGCATTGTTGATTATTGTGACTTTGTTACCATCTTTTGTGTCCAAGCCTGCTTCCTGCTTTCCCTGCAAAGGGCAGGACATGCAGTCTCCTGCCTGTCTCAGGTTGGCAGCATGTGGAAGCTCTTACTGTCTTCTACCTGTTGAGAGGCCTTGAGCTCATCAGAGGCCACTAATTTGGCGTCCTCTTTGACAGCTTTATTCAAGGCCCAAAGCAGAATTTCCTGTGTGTTGGGGCAGGAGGTTTTTCTGCTGGAAGGGAACTTTCATTCTGTTCCTACTTAAAGGAGCAGCAAAATAAAGGAGTCTTTGAATGGTTTGTGCTGGATTCACTGTACTTGTCTCTTTGCCATCTACAATGCTCGGGAATAGTCAGTAGGTGTCAGTAACTTCCTGTAAACAAAATGAGAAGCTGTTCCCCTTAAGCCTGAACTGATCTGTCCCTATGAGACAGCAGTGCTTTTTCTGCCTCTTGGGGTTCCTAATAGCTACTCTGCAGAGCTTGTTGGTTGAAAACAAGAGATGTTGATTTGCTCCATGTTTAGTACAAGATGCTGTTGCAGTACTAGAGAGCAGCCTAGTTCTAAACTCTTTCAATGTGTAAAATCACTGAGGTGTTTCATCAGCTGAAACGTGTGGTTTGACTGTTTCCCCAGCAGGCTGGGAGAGGGTCCCTTTTGTGACCTGCCAGCTAGTGATGGCCAGTGTGCAGTCATGACTTAGCTAGTCTTTACCATTTCTCTGTTGTGGTCTTTAGAGCTTCCTGGAATGTATCTGATATGAGCTATCTGCAGGCATGCCATGTGGCGTACCAGAATGTCTCTAATGAAGCCATAAGAGACAGCTTTGTTATTTCCGATTACAGTTTTCACTTTCCAAAGGATTTCCTTACATCTGTGTGCTGTCTAACATGGACAGGATTTCCCTTCCTAGGCAGGGCTAACTACTGCTGTGTCCAGACATGATAGCAGCAGTTAAGCTGTCTGTTTGGGTATAGTTAAACCAGTGTCTTGCCTGTAGATAAGTGCTGGGAGAGGGAGGGGTGGTGCTTTGGTGAGATTTGAACTTGAACCCACTCTAGTTCAGCATTGGTCAAGAACTGCTTTCAGGTTCCCTCTTTTTTGGGGGTTGGAAAGAACAACAGCTCTACCATGCACGTCTCTTAGTGGCACATCTGTGATACTGACTTGTATCTTTTTTCCTCTTTTCTTCCTCTTTAAGATTGTTGGGATAATCACTCGGCACAACCTGACCCACGAATTTCTGCAGGCAAGACTGAGACAACACTATCAGACCATTTGATGCCCCTGCCCACCCTGCCCCACTGTCGGTGTGGCTACCTCCCTCTTCCAAGCCTGCACACGCGCTCGCATTCTGCTTGGACCCCACAAGGCCCAAGACTTGCCGTTTGGCTTCTCACATGCATATCAAGCCTGGGGAGCTGGAAAACATCTTGCTAGCCAGAGAATTAGAGGAGCTGCCTGAGCCCAGAGCTGTTGATTGGTCTCAGGCACTTGGTTTGACCACTCTTGATCCAGGTTTTTTCTTCTCCTGTGCCCCAGTTATCTCCTTTCTTCAGATGTTGTCCTGACACTGTATGTTCTGCTATTTTGTTTTGTTTTGTTTTGTTTTTTTAAGGGTTGGAAAAAAGAACCATCTAGCTCCACTGTGTCCTGTGCAGAGAACTGCAGCATCTTTTCCCTGTCCTCCTGTATGTCTCCCTTTTCTTCTTCCTCCCTTGTTCCTGCAACTGTTGCCTTATTTGTGTGAGAAGGAGGTCGCTGTCAAGGCTGAGAGGAGATACTGAAGTTTGCAGTTATCAAATAGCTGCTCTGGAAGATGGCTTTTCTCAAAAGCAGTATTAAAAAACCCAACTCTCTGGAAATACACCTCTCTTTGTGGGTGCTCCCAATTGCCCATGTTTTTCCACTCTGGCTTCATTTGTTCCTAATTTCTTTCCTTCTTTCATGGGGAAGCATCCCTGCTGTGATGTTTTTGACAGCAGCTGACTTTTGAGAGCAGCTCAGTAGATCAGGAGTTCAAAATAGTTCAATTCCAGTTACTGTTTGGGATTATAAATATTTAATACATTTGCAGAGCATCTCAGAGAAGGCAGATCTCTTTTCCCTGTTAGATGTTGCTATTATCTCCCTGTAAGAGACTTCTAAGGCACTTTGTGGCACTCCACTTTGTCACTACCCTGGCACTTTTGCATTTCTTGGCATTTGTAGGCACTTTGTCCTTGTACTGATCCAACAGCGAGAGCCTGGGACACCTTTCCAGCTAGGGTTAGAGACCAGGGAACCTCACGTCCTCAGAGCATGGTGAAGTGTTGCTTTCTGGAGGCAAATAGAGCTGATGCTCTGTCTCTGGGCTTGGTTGAATTATCTCTGTGTCATGAGAGGAGCTGGTGTAACTTCAGGCTGCCATACAGGAGGGATACTTGGTGCTGGTGACCAACAGGCAGGATCTGCTGCGGGGTGATAAGTGGGGCTGTCTGTGCTCTAAAAATGCTTGGGATAATGTTTGCAACTGCAACAGCTGAATATCTGTAAGGGTAAAATCAGCACTTAGAAGCCAGTTGCAGCCAGTTCACTGCTTTAGCAGGTACCATCCTGGCCAGCACCTGTATTGTTCCAGCAGGTACCTGCCCTCCTGAGTTTTACATAGAGATAACCCTCAGTGGGAAGCCAGCATTGTGCCTCCAGGGGCTGCAGAGCTGATTGGCTTGATAAAGCACAGAGCATTCTCTCAGCCAAGAGACTGGGCCAAGTAACATGGGGAATGTATCCCAGAAAAGCTTCTACACTGCCTCTGAGCACTCCAGTTAACCTGTTGTCTGCCATAAGGAGCTAGCTAGATGAGAGCTGTGGCAGAAGGAAATCAGACATTATTGTATTTTCTGAATTCAAGAACTCATCTATGCTGAAGATTTTCCTGACTAAGCCTTTCCTTAGCAGAAAGAAGTTGTGCCCTTTCCTTACATGTGTCAAAACACTAAAACTGTTAAAACAGCCTCTGACTTTGTGGGAGCTGATTGTTCCAGGGCACTGCTCTGCAAACTGCTGGCTGCTGAGCCCTACTACAGTTAGGGTTAGGAGGAAGTTTTGTGCCCAGGTCACCAGCCATGGTCTAGATGTAGGGCTCTTTAAGTCACTAGAACTCTTAGATGTTCATGGCGTCTTTGCAGTCCAGATAGTTGGTAGACAGATGTATTCTCTGGTTGTGCTTGCGATAAAGACAGCTGAGTCATGGGAGGCTCTTGAATTTTGTCCAGCAGATGAGAGAGAACTTGGTCTTACAAGTGGTTCCTGAGGCCAAGTTTTAGGGTAGAATTTGTCCTTGTCATACGGTGCATGGTATGGCTCAGCTGGAAAGTTTGATTTTAGCAAAGCTGTTCGTAAGCACTTAGATTTTAATTTTTATTCCTCTCCATTGACATCTGGAGGCCTTTTTCTCACTTGGTGTTCTTCCCACCTGCTGTCTTATTAAGAGAGGAAGGGCAGATCTTCATTTGTTTTCAAGAATGGATTTATACCGTTTCCACAAAGGAGAGAGTGGGCTGTGGTATGTGCAATGGCAGTTGCAAAGGAAGCTGTGGATGTCCCAGGACCCTTTGTTAACTACGGCCGCTCTCCAGGGCTGCTTGCGAAGTGACCTATCTAAAGAGCAGGGAACACATTCATTCTTTTCCCTTTCTTACTGTGGAACTTGCAGCAACAGCTCTTGTCTCCTCCGCTAAAATAGTTTTGCTGGCTTCTGAATATCCTAGCTCCATTTCAAATAAGGCACGCAATCTCTTAAACTTCCAAGAGTAAAGCGAAGGTGTTTTCCTACAGCCAGTATCCATATTGTGCCTTCAGCCTGGACTCCTTAGCTGGGACAGGTGTGGCATGTTCCTCAGAGCACGAGTTGGCCTTGGCTACTGCTCTTGACTTGCAAGTTCTTTCCCTGTAAGTAGAGTAAGGATGTTTTTCTTTGGGTAGTCTCTGCAGATGACTTCTAAAATGTCTGTGTTCCCTGAGCTCTGGTCTTGCACTGAGCTATCCTAAGAAACTTCCAGCACCCTTTTGCACTCCCTGAAGCTGAACTGTAGGTTTGAAATATGCTTCTGTTAACCTACCTTTCATTCAAAGGATTCGTGCTCGTGGGCAGTTACAAATCACAGGAATCCTGTTTTCATGGGATTTCAGATCACTCTAATGTGGAATTAGCAGTCCCATTCTGTCAGAGCACCTGTCAAGAATGCCCTATGTCTCTCCATGACAACTCTTTCCTCTTGCTCATGTTGAGTGACTGTGTGTGGAAAGTTCTTTCTCTTCCTGCACATGAATAGGGCTCCTTAGATTGTTTGCCTTGAGCTGGTCACGTCCTGCTTTATTTCTGTACACAAACTGCAGCAGTATATTTTGCTGCAGGATGTCTTGTCATCGCTGCTGAGGCCTGGAGTTAGGCAATCCAGACAAGACAGGCTGAAAAATCTTGTCAGGGTTTGTCTGAGCACCAGCTGCGCTTCCCCACAAGAAGGCCACTTGCTGTCAGCGCTGTCTGCTCTGCCTATGCATCTATCTTATTCAAACGTTTCAGCTGGGAAACACTTTCACTCCTTCAGTAAAGAAGTTTCAAGTGAGGATGGCGGGTGACCCTGTCAGCTGCTTTAAAGGGAAGTCTCAGTGTGCAATCACTGTTATGTAGCCTGCAGAAAGGGAATTACAAGCTCATCTGACGTTTGGAGATGCAGCATTTCCCTTCTGCTAAGGACTGATGCAAAGAGGCTTGTGTTGAATCAGTCTTGTTGTCACGCTTTGGTCACTTAATTCCTCTCTTACAACACACTAACTGCTTCTACTCTGGCTCTGGTTGCTTAGTGATTTACCAAGGAACTTCTAACATAGGTGCCTGTAACCTTTTACTCAGAGCAACACTAAAGGAATAGTAACCAAGAACTGGATTAGTATTGATGGCAAAAGTTAGGGGATAGTATGGGGCATTCTCCCCTGCCTCATGGTTTCCTGTGCAGTGTTAATTATGCAGTTTTGAATTGTTAACTTACTGTGAGCCATTCCAATGGTAGCAACTTACCTTTCCATTTGTTTTTTGCACTGTTTTTTTGTTACGAAATGATGTAAGCTAATTCCACAGTGTATATAAATTGTATTTTTTTTAAATTTGTATGAATATATTTTTATTTGAACTATGGCACTTGGGAAGTATTCATGTAACCATAACATGTCTGAGAGTAAAATGTTTGTGTGTCTCCTTCAGCACTTTTAAGGCCTTTTGATGTTTCTAGTGTTGTCTTATTTTTGCCCTTTATTATAATAAAACTAGTAGAACATGGCAATATCCAAGAACATGATTTGAGGTATATGAGTAGTTGCTATTTATGAGCCGTCTGGATCTAACAGTTTGTGCAGAAGGTGCTCTGAAGCTGGGCAAAGATAGGAATTAGTGTAATCCTTTAGGTTGCGACCACTGCAGTCCCGTGTTCCCTCACCACAGCTGTTTAAAAGGAGGGAATTACCAAATGTTTGATAAGGAGCTGAATTGTGCACATTGTGCTAGAGGTGACTGCTGCTTTTCTTACCCGAGAACTCTTGCTTTTCACCTTCCTCCCATAAATTAATGAAAGACATTTAGAGTGCAGTGTTGCATCTCTTGTTGTACAAGTGGCTTCTCCAGGATGTGAAAAATCTTAATTTTATCTTTAGCTTTTATTTAGTTTGTGGCTCTTTCCTGCTTTATCCTGCTGTCTACTTTACAGAAAAGAGCTTGTGACAATTTTTGATCTTTCATCACTTTCTTACAGGCCAAAAATGTGAGTGAGAACAGTCTTTGAGCACTGTAGAAATATCTGACCCAAAAGCTCACTGCCTTTCTATGTTTGTGCTGGTTTTGTGGATCAGGTAGCTGTGTTGTACAGGATGCACATAGTAGCTCTCTGATGCACTCTAATACGAAGTTAGCCAGCAGCTCGTCTGGCTCCTGCCCTCAGTCTCTCGCTTCGTGTGTACATAATGACAGGGAGAGCCTGAAATAGATAAAAGCATCTGTTGGGAGGGGCTGGCAGAAAATCTGTGCTCGGGAGCTAAATAAGAAGTGCCATGGTGGTCTTAATTAAGCTGTGCTCCTAGCAAGAAATCAGGGTAGAAGAGAGTCATCAGGAGAAAAGAGGGGGGGGGGGAACTCTGCTTCAGCTCTGCTGCTGCCTTCAGTCACAAATGCAGTAGTGTAGGAGGGAATGAGAGAAGCATTTCCGTCCTAAAATTGAGGTGCATCAGCTGCCACTTTAGCATAACAGT